GTACAATACAATAATAAACCTGTCAATAAGTGCATTGTAAATCATAAAAAAGATACTTTGTATAAAATGAAATGGGTCATAAAATATAAAGAACATCGCGAAAAGTGTGCAACGATCGCACAATGATCGTGTACATGCAATATATATTGAAAATTAAACAAAATATTCTTCGTCCAAACAAACAATCTAACCTACCTTCTGTTCGATGCATTCAACGATTACGGAAGGATACTTCCTACTCAACCACCGAAAAAATGCTGGTACACCCATCTTTCGTCGTTCGACGTTGTCTTCTTATGCACTGTACACTTTTTCTTTGACTGTATTACAAGAATTTGTTTATAAATCAAGCGAATACTAACTGTTTTTACCGTTTACTCATAGTTAACCTATAACACACAATAACACACACTCAGGAGTCGGCCATATTGGATCAGCCAAACGTACGTGTGCTGCCATCTTCGGCGCAAATAAACACGTCGTAAATAATAAATAATAGGAATGTAAACGCTGAATAAATATAAAAATCAGCGTAATACAACAAATGAATTTGATGCTATATTTCAGGTTAATTTTTAGGACACTAACGTTAGAGATAATAAGGAAAAATAAAATGCTGTACTTTGTGTACTTTATCCCACACCCTATTAAGTAAATACTTATTTTGCCGGTCTTCTCTGCACAGAAAACGTACATGTAATATAACGCGCCCATAATTCAGACATAATATACTCGGTACGTCCAGGTCGAAATATTTTAGATCTCGTAAATTATAAGTAGATATATAATAATCAGCTTTTTCAATTCTCGTTCTACAAATTTGCAAGATGACAATGAAACGTCGTATCTTTTTACAGCAAGCTGTGAAATAAACGAACATTTTCGAGATGCAAGAAGAGAACATTTTACATGGACCGCCTGTGTCTATTCCAGAATTCAAAAATTTATCTATAGGTCAATTGATTTTGAATCAATTGAATGTTCATAGTTCTTGGGTGGCACAGGTAAACAATTCAAATCAGTTCTATTATAATTTATATAAGTATCAATTAAATATATCTATAATTGTTGGATGATACAATATTTTTCAGGTAAATGCTTACACAGGAAAGAAACAAACATTTAAAGAAATTCTAGACATTAGTCGAAAGCTAGCAATTGCTATTGACAAAGAAGGGTTGAAGAAAGGCGACCATATAGCTATATGCAGTGAGAACAATACAGAGTTTTGTATACCAGTATGTGCTGCACTTTATTTAGGTGTTACTGTTTGTCCATTGAATCCACTTTATACGGAAATGGAATTAAAGCATGCATTAAATATAACGAAACCAAAGTACATCTTTGCATCCGCAATTGGAGCACCTAACATGCTCAAAGTATTGCCTCAACTACTGTGGTTACCAAAGATAATAATGCTAACAGATTCCAGTGATAATAAGATGCCAAGTATCAAGAGCTTAACATTAGACATAGCTACCGATAATAATTTTTGCGCACGTTTAATAGATGTCAAGGATCATGTATCGGTCATCTCATACTCCAGTGGTACTACAGGATTGCCAAAAGGAGTGATGTTAACAAACAAAAATTTTTTATCAATGATAAGACACTTTGCTTTTGCATCTCCCGAAATTGTAAACACTAATGCAGTAACTTTAGCTTTATTGCCATTTTTTCATGCGTATTCTTTCTCTGTTCTACTTGTAAGACTAGTATTTGGGAATCAAAGTGTCATTCTTTCACGTTTCGAGGAAAAAATATTTTTACATACCATTCAGAAGTACAGAATTGAGCATATAACTGTTGTACCACCGCTTATGGTGTTTTTAGCAAAGCATCCTATCGTAGACAAATACGATTTGTCTAGTATCAAACATATTTGGTAAGTCTCAGTTTAAATTCCGATAAATTCCATTAAAAAGAAAATTTTACGTTCTCGGTAATTTTAATTAGGTGTGGTGCAGCACCTTTATCCGAAGAAATCGCAAAAATAGCCGCAAAACGACTGAACGTGCAAAGTATAAAACAGGGTTACGGATTAACAGAAACTACACTAGCTGTGATTAATTCGCCAAATAATAGCAATATAAAATACGGAAGTGTGGGGAAGCTAGGTCCAGGGATATCTGGTAATACACTATAGACCTTTGTTTCATAAGTATCTATTTCATTGTTTTCTTCTATATTTAGCAAAAGTAATACCGTTTGATAAGGATGAACCAAGTAGAAACCTAGGACCAAACAATATAGGAGAATTATGTTTCAAAGGAGATTTAATAATGAAAGGATATTATAAAGATGAAAAAGCTACAGCAGCAACAATTGATAAGGATGGCTGGTTGCATTCTGGAGATGTAGGATATTACGATGAAGAGGGTTACTTTTATATAGTGGATCGCTTGAAAGAACTTATTAAATACAAAGGATTTCAAGTTCCACCTGCAGAACTGGAAGCAATATTATTAGCATGTCCTGGCGTTAAAGATGCAGCAGTGATTGGGTTACCCCACGAAGAAGCAGGAGAATTACCAGCTGCTTTTATTGTTAAACAAGAAGGATCTAATATAACAGCAGAAGACATTAATAAATACGTGAATGGTATGTGTTTATCATAGTAATTAATCTAATAATTTTCGACGTAATAAAAACTGTTGCAGAACGTGTATCGTGCCATAAACGACTTCGAGGGGGCATCAAGTTTGTCGAAAATATTCCGAAAACTGCATCAGGAAAAATACTACGTCGGATATTGCGCGATACATTTAAATCGAAATTATAAATAGATATGGCATTAACTACTTTGATCTATCCTTGATTTATTTTTTACATTTATTTTAAAATGTTGAGGCATAAGAAAGAATAGATTAGTATTTATGAAAATAACATTAACGAATTTTGGTCGAGATATACGTTTCGTAAATAGTTTAATTTTTCTTAATCCTGCAGAATCTGAAACTTCTTCAATTACTGTTTTAACTTTTCTTTTACTTCATGTGGCATCTTACTTAAGTACCACTGATGATTCTGACCAGCAGCTGTAGCTAATACACCTCGTAAATTCGGGTACGATGTTCCTGCATCGTAAGAATAATGCTCCCCATACAAATCAGTTAAAGTACCACCAACAGCATGAAGAACTGCCTCTGGTGCACATGTATCCCATCTTTTGCAACCTTTACTAGCAAATACATAAGCATGGGCTTTTCCTTCCATTAAAAGTATCACCTATGAGAAAGTAAACAAAAATAAACGAATTAAAAGAAATTCAATTAATTTAGTGTTAATATTACCTTATACCCTGCACCACCGACGCGCAAAACCTCATCGGGACATAAAGCACTTATAGCTGCCTGAACATTGCTATCCGAATGCGAACTAAAAATGTATATGTTTCTTATTTCTTTTACAAAACATTACACCTTTATTTGCCCTAAAACTGAATCCTACCGTGTAGTTGTAACTATTCTTTTTCCATCAGGGGGTGCAATTGGTGTGAATCCTCCGAATCCTACACCATTAATACCCCAAATAGTACGTCCTAATGTATCACTCTCATCATTTTTATAATACGGTTGATGAATTACTCCTCCAACTGCTCTTTCTCCAATTGCTATCCCTACTAAAACTGTTACATGCTCTACAAGACCCTGTGTATACTCGGATGTTCCTAAAAGCAGTGTTTTCTTCAACATATTTGCCTAAGCTTAACTGAATTTTGCTTCTATAAATGTACATAACCAAAATAATTATAACTAATAAAATGTGTATCTACCATCCAATGGATCTACCCAAATGCAAATATCTTTAGGATCGATATCTTCCAGATGAGCTGGTAATTTCAATTTTAGCACTTCTTGATCCGCTTCTGTTACAACCCAATCAGATGGTACATCACAATTACTCGATTCTTCTTCACCAATGATGGTAATATTTGGAAACTGATGGCTCAAAGAAGCAATAATACACCTTTGCGCACACCGATCTGCTTCAGTTTGTAAATCATTTTTGCCTTTTTCAACTATATTTAGACCTCCATGACTCATAACATCTCTTATTATTGTGCCTGCTCTCACTGAAGCAGTTATAGAAGAGGCCACTATTCGTGATAATAGGCAAACACTTTGAGCCATTTTTCGGATTTTTCTGTTAATACTAATCAATATTGATTCTGCTTTTCTATCACAAGAATTACTGTATCTTTAACCAAGAATGACTTAAATATGTTATACGCGCGATTAAACTCACTTAAACGATAAAAAATTTGTAACAAAAAGACTTAGAAAGTAGCAGTATTTCTCACAAGGTTATACTTGATGGAATACGAGAAAGTGAACAATATTTTAAAATATGTTTTCAAAGCTTCACACTATTTTTGTTATAATCTACAGATAAGATAAACTCCTTAAAACCGTTTATGGCACATAATATGCATATTTATAATAGGTATAACAAATGCAAAATAATAGACAAATTTTTGTCACTGCTATATTCAAAACAGTAAAATAGGATTTACAGTAATTGGTATTAAAAGAAAACAATATATGTTATAACAAAGCGAAACATGCGTACAATCAGATCGAATCAGATCATGAGAACAGTTAGCTATTTTATACATTGTAAATTGTCGATATATAATATCTTCGAATAATCTTTCATCAGAGATATTATGAACAAAAATTTACAATGTAATACTTAGTAATACTGCTTTGTATTTTGAATTACTTTCTCATAAAACAAATTATTTTCTATTGCAGTAATTCACGTATGTACAAGTTACGTTATGTAAACATTTTTAAGAATCAAAATAAATAACAATATTATTAAGAACTCTCCAATAATTACGGCGGAATTTAAGATATTTAATAAAGTTATTAAATTCGTTTAAAAACATTTCGATTTCAACTACTTTTAAGCAAATCTTGTACAGGCATAACCTTAAACGCATAACTTCATAATATTGATTACATTTTGTTGCAAAGTACAATAAATGAGAAAAGATGAGAATTTTGTGTAGAAATTTACTAATGTCGTCGAAAACCTTTATATCGCCAATTAAAAAATCTCAAAACAACATTATTCAACGAATGATAAATAAATCTGCTTTATGTTCGAATTGTATACAAATTGCGAATAGTAAAACGGAAGAGAGTAAAAAAAAAAAGAAAAATAATATTAACGATTACATGAACAGTATCAATCCAAAATCTATAAACAAAATTATACAAAATTATTTATCGTTACGTACGAGAGGAAATTTATATCTAATTAATGCTGAAATAGCCAAGCAATTTGTTGATTTTATTATAGACGATTTATTAAAGAATGCAACTCATGTAATCGAATTGAATCCAGGTCTCGGTTATTTGACAAAAGAACTATTGAAAGCTGGTGTACCATTTGTACATATGTATGAAAATGAATCTGCTTTTAATACTATACTAGAGAAATTGTGTCAGCAATTTCCAAAACAGTTGTCTAAAAAAAATGCGAATCTTTTCGATATAGCGAAAATGATGTATTCAGCCAGCTTTACCACTGGTGCAACATCTTATGTATTTAAATTATTTGACAATGTACAGAGGAAACAATGGGAAGACACAAGTTGTATGCAACTAGTTGGAATAACAGACAAACGCGAATTTATAACTCACTTGATATTAAGCACAGTATTTCAAACATGCCTTATGGCATTTGGACGAACAATTTTGTATCTTGCAATGAAACCATCCGTATGGAAAGTTAGTAAGAAAAGTTTATTTTCAAACTTCCCTAAAAATACCATTTCATATTTATAATTTTTATGTTTTAGAAATTTACATGTTCAAGTTCAAGTAGGATGACATCTGCTTACGTTATGTTTCAAATAATATTTGATTATCAAATGTTTGGAACATTGGATAGAAAAGCATTCGTGCCATGGAAAAGAAAGATGGGCTTCCAAAATAACGACAAGCATAAATTTTATGAAGAAGACAGTAACTTTCTTTATGTTGTTAAATTAGAACCAAAGCCTGATCTTTTAAAAACTCTTGGTGGAAAACAAGATTTGATATACTTCTGGCATTTTACTCGACGAAATTTATATAAACTAAACAATAGAGTGATACCTACATTAGAGTGAGTATAATTATACAAATATGTAAGTATTATTATTAAGCAGTATTAAACGAATAATGTTCATTAATGTTTCAGAAAAATAATACCAGGCTGTGGTTTGAGATTAATAGAAAAGAATTTTAATATTTTTACTCAGTTTGATGATCTGACCCCACATCAAATTCTTGACCTCTTTCTAGAATTTCGGTCGTGGCCGGAATTCAAAGAAAGTATATTTGTATTAGGTGCAACTGATTCGCAAACAATGTATAATACAGATATATATAAATGATATAATTTGCTGCTCGTATAATATTTATGTTCATATTTATTATAATATACTAAAATAAATTTTTCTACGAAATGATCGCATTTTAAATTAATCATTCTTATATGTAAGGTGTATATATTTTTTATCGTTTTTCACGCAAAAGATGTATTTATATATGCATTTAGCAATAGTGGGAGAAAAACGTCAATTCACCGCATATACTTAATAGTGATTGGTTGCTGATTTTAATACTTTTATTGTGCTCAGCTATGGTTGCCCTTGAAATTTCAGGGTCAAGTGAGGTCATTTAAAGAGACATAGTACACTAAGCTGAGTCATCTGTACATCTGCAGTAATAATAAATACTTGCAAAAACTTTAATAACCTATATTCAAGAGAATAATATTTTCTATAGTTTTGTTTTAAAACTTGTATACTACTTAGCTTGCATAAAATGAAGTGGCTAGTTTTAGGCATTACATTAACAATATGGAATTATATAGTGTGTCAAGATATTGTATTCCCAGATAATGAAGAAGTATCTCATGTTAGTGGCAATAATCAAATGGTAATTATATTTAAAGATAGATATAAATTATTTTGTAAGATAACAAGGAAAACTCAACAAGTGTTTCCCTTCAGATAACAGAACGTATTCCAGTGTCTATACCGGGGCAGTGTCCCGAAAATATGCTTCTTTATCCTGGAGGAGGGAACAAAAGCTCATGGGTATGCGATTGCAGACCTAGATTTTTATATTTCCCTTTAAACGATACTTGTTACGAAGCATATACACAAGGACCTTGTGCACCACAGAACTACGTGGTACTTCCTAAAAATGAAGTTGTACCACAATGCGTAATAAATCCATGCAGAGTAGAGGGCTTAGTACCGTACAATGGTACATGTTACCCTCTAAGAACTGTAGGTGGTCCATGTGCTCCTGATGGAGTATTAGGAGTAAACGAAACTAATTTTGAATTGGAATGTGTACCAACGGATATTGCACCTTTTATTATAATTCAAGCACCTAAAAGGCAGTGTCCTGCAGGAAGTCGCAGAAACAGCCTTGGAATATGCAGAGAAGTAATTTGAATCATCACTGATCATTTACTCTTTCGGTCTGTTGAGTATAATAAACTTCAATGTTTTGTTATGATTCTGATATATTATAAGAATATATTACTTATATATATTTACAAAATATATTTTAAACTATATTTAAGTTAAATCATTTTCAACATGAAATTTTAACTCTATGTACATTCAATAATTGTACATATACGTAAATTGTATACTTATAAAATTCGTATCATTAACATTCATTGTCTCATCAAAAGCTATTACAACTAACTAAATGTGTGATTATTTTATATTTGATTCTACTCTAATATACTATATACAAAGTACAGTAAATATAATACAATAAGAATATTTTATATCTAACCATTGTTAGCATTCTGTAAATTAAACAACAAATATATTAAACCTATGTTACAAAATATATGTTAATGCTTGCTATGATGGCTATGAGTAATCTTATCCAGTCTTGCCACATATAAACTTTAGACATTAATAACTTATATCCTTTAAACATAAAAAATTTCATTTTAATACTCCTTGTTTCATTAAACTTGACTGTCTTGCCATTTTATACTTCTTGATGGATTAAAAAGTTTCTTTAGGACACAATACATTACTTCAATTATTACATGAATTAGAAAATGTGCGTTTAAAAAACTGACTCTGTAGAGTATAAATGTTTTTCAGAAGAATAAGAGTAGTAATGTAATCAAAATTGGAATAGTTGACATGCTTGAATTTCTAATTTTATTCTTGTATTTCGTTACTCCTAGCAGCTTCTATTAATCTCTGCCTCTCTCTGTACATGGAAACTTTCATATTTTCTAACTGATGATATCTTAGCAACTTCAACACTGCAAAAACTGATAAACCAACCCAAATAGATAAACTGGTCCAAATACCAAATTGAGCTGCACCTAGTTCTATATGAAAACCAGAAGTTTCTATCCCATCGGCTTTATCAATGTCATTTCCAGCTGCCAGTTCGCAGGATGGAAATCTTTTCGTCATACATTGACACCAAGTCATGAAACCAAGGGTTACAATAACAGCAGCAACCAAGGTAGTTGTCGTGAGAAATATGGAACTGATAACATCAATAAAGGCTGACAAAAAGGAACTGTCCTCCCCGCGATACATAAATATAGAAAGTCGATAGATCTGTACTGCAGATGTCACACACAACATCACACCAACGATAATTGTATAATTGCAATAAGCTCGCGAAGCCCAGTTTACTACAAATTGTCCATCCGATTCTTGCCAAGTACCCGTAGAGAACAATAGACAATGCCCTCTGCAAATAAAAGGTTAGAATGACGATGCGTCACATGTACGATTCAATAATATTTATTACTTGTTTCACTTGATACTGTAACTACCTAAATTCGTTTTGGTGCAAGCTCATAGGTATGATAATACAAAGTGACAAGATATTAGCTATGATATATCCCGATATCTGACTAAGAAGTAGCACATTCGTTAACGCCATTTTTTTTTTTTTTTGTTTCAATAACAAGAGAAGCTTTATTCCGCGATATATTCGTAGAAATGAAGAACTGCAATTTTCAATAGATTAACTAGCGAACCGTCGAATAATTTTTGTGACAGATCGTGACTGATCGTGACAGATCATTCGATCACGACGCATCTGAACCTATTAATAAACGTGTACTGATGCGTACGCAGCGATTAGCATGAACACAGCCACGTTCAGTGTGGTAAACCTTGCGTAAACATAAACACTCCTTTTCAATTCCTATTACTTTCAAAATATTTACTTTATTCAAATAACCGCGTATTAAACACGATTCAATAAAGAATATTCCATTTAGTATGTAACACATTAAAGGAGTATCCCAGTTGTACGCGGAAAGAAAGAAACGTTCGCGTTACAAAATTTTATTACACGATTTACGAAACAACTCGTCTATGCATATTCTAAAATATATAATGCAAAAAACTTGTTACAGGTTACTACGTACTTATTTTTCCTTACATCGAAATAGACTACGCAATAATTGAAGAATTATGAAAACCGTTAACGTTTCTTTCTTTCATGAATATGTATGTACACACATGTATGCATATGTATACGCAGAACCAATGATCTAACGATACTAAAGTAAAAATTAATCACAATGTTGCAACTTCTATGTAGAATAGCGATAACAAAACTGAAGTAATCCCTTTTCAATCTTCGATGCGAATAACGTCTGTAATGAAACGTTCGACGCAAATTAATTCGATTCCTTGGAGTGCAAGTTAGTGCGCTATTCCGTTTATTTGAAAAATAGAATGCATAAACCTTCCTGATAAACGGGAAAAAATAGATTAAGTGAACGTAACAGAATCGCTATATCGTGCGGAATACAATCGGCGAACGGAATTGCATAAACGTAAAACAGCGTTGGAAAACTAAAGTATCTCTCCAAAGTCAGCTGATTTCAGTCAACGAGACCACCATTGCTTCTTTACGAAGGTTTGTCCCGATGGTCAGGCTCGCGTGTGTGTGTGTGTGTGTATGCGTGTGTTTGTAGTGCATCCGAAGGAAAACATTACGCAGCTAGAACCCCGTTACATCCGAATCATCGTATTATGTTAAGAATCGTTGCACTAAACTGGACACGTGTGAGGAAGATGGAATTCACGTGGATGAATTACTTTTCATCCACCGTGCCCGAATAACAGGCCTAACATAAGACGCATGACGAAAGACAGACCTTCGAAAAATCCCATGTCTTTCATAGATTAGACTCAAACGTGCGAATAAGATGTCTTGGTTGGGATGCTTCCCTTGGTCGCAAGGGATCAAAAAACGAGCCTGCAGATATCTCCTACAACGATATCTTGGTCAATTTTTAGAGGAGAAGCTGACATTGGATCAACTCACAGTAGATCTTTACAATGGAACTAGTCGTGTAACCAATGTCAGCCTTGATGTACAGGTAACTATCACTTCCTTTGTTATGTGTTTCTTTGTTAAGCTCCTAAGGAAAACGACAGATATTAATATCCCTTAAGGCAACATGTAGTTTTTACGAAACAAAGAGAACAAGCAATGAGGGTGAATTGTTTACTAGATTTGTTATTTTTCATTTTAGGCGCTTAATGAGCTGGGAGAACAGCAACATCTGCCATTAGAATTTGTAGATGGTTTTGTAGCAGAGATGTCAATTAGTATACCGTGGTCAGCTTTGCTTAGCGAAGCTAGTTACGTGGAAGTGACAAGTCTAAGGTTAACGGTTCAACCAAGACAAAGGATGGAAAGTGGTACTTCAATGTTCGAATCCATGTGGAGCTCTATGACATCGAGTATGCAACTCGCACAAGAATGCTTGCAAGAAGATGCTAACAATGCTGGGAATTCTCAACCTTTAGAAGGAGTAGAATTGTTTGCACAAACGATAGATTCAAGTAAGAATTTGTATATACTGTAAGTAAGCTAATACGTGACTATTGAATTACAAAAAAAAAATCTTGTTTATTATAGTTTTATGCAGAGTGAAAGTCAGATTTATAGATACTGTGATACGTTTGGAACATGTGCCACTAGATTCTTCAACAGGAGTTGCAATAGAAATGTTTATAAAGAATCTCGAATATTCAGATGAAGCAGGCTTGGATCCAAGCAATACTTCATTAGATCCTAGTCAATCTACAAAAGGATATGTTGTGTCGGCATTTACGACTAAACGTTTTTACCTAGAAGGAGTGACTTTTCACACGGATGAATTTCCATCTAGTGCAAGAACTTTTTCTAGAAGTATAATAACAACGAGTAGGGGTTCGACGCCAGATTCTAAAGTAATGTATTTCACAAGAATTAGTAAGAAAATAGACAAAAACGAAAATGACAAAAATCGGATTCTTTTGTTATAGAATTCGGATGGCCAATTTTCTTCTGCACAAATGTCTCCCAATCAAAATACGCAAACTCCTCCAGATGCTAATATTATTAATAATTTAAGTGGATCGAATCCTATAATGTTTGCTAAGTTGGCAGGCAGACAAGAAATAAGATTAAAATTGAAACAAGGAGAAGGTGTCTCAGGGCCAAAGGTAAAAGTTGAATAATTAGAATTAAGCAGTAAACATTATGTGGATGTATAAAAGTATAAGAGAATAATGCTATTTGATCGTAACGTATTCGATAAAAAAGTAAAGAAGAACTAATTACTTCAGGTAGAATTAGAAGTAACTCTGGGATCTTTTACTTCGTTTTTAAGTCCGCGGCAAGTGCATGTTTTAATGGAATTAGGACATGGACTTGCGTCTCCGGACTTGGAAGACATCAGCAATGTCGCACCAAGAACGTGCGTCGAAAAACCTATGGCTCGCAGCGACTTTCATCGCGTGGAACGCGAACTTATTCAACAAATACAACCAACTCAAGGATTGCGTACTATGGTGATGAAAGTTATACTGTAATGCTTAAAATGATACTAAGGATTAACAAGAGATACTAAATAAAACAAATTCTCGTAAATAACAGGATCTAAGGCATACGCATGGTTGGTCAACGGCATCTTTGGACGAGTCTGACAATGAAGATGAATTTCTACCGATGCGACTACCGGGGTCCGCGTCGATGAGTAACTCTGTTACGAGTAACAATATCAGTATGGACGGGAGTATATCGTCTAGTAGTATTAGCTTAAAAAGTTCAGCAACAAATTTACCAAAGCAACGTAAACAGAGACATAGCGTGGATAGCGGTCCTTCCACGGAAACATCTCACTTTCACGTGAGAGTATCTTCCATAGCTATAGTCCTGTTACACGAAGATATATTAACTACTTGCGTAGACGGCGGTGGCTTAACGTGTTCTAGTATACGACAAATGAAGAGATCGGCAGAAGAATTTTTTAAAGAACTCGGATTGTTCGCAGCCACTGGATATGGAAACAAAGATTTTGATAAGGCATCGAAGTTGCTCTTAGACGCTTGCCATTTGAGTCACATTAGGTAGGCACAATCAGTACGTAAATACTGATAAATCTAAGAAGATCCGAAAGCTTTAACCTTCCTTGCTTATTACAGATTGCTTGCTGCGCCGTTAGTAATCGAAGGAAAAGAAAAAACTATGACGCTATCTTCTGCGATATCTGGAACCCTGACGTTAGCTAGTTTAGAAATTGTAGAATGTTTAATTGATTCCAACAGCTCTGGCGCGAGCGGAACTCCCCCGACGGAATATGTAGAACTACTTACATTTCCAAAAGAGAACTCAACGAATGTTGGCTTTACTAATAAAACAGATTTCAAAATGAAATTTAAATCCGTGGAAAATGCTCAGGGTGCTAAGCACGCTCAGTTAATGAAATCTACGAATCCGTGTACAGAAATTGAGTAAGTCTACGCATATCGATCTACACCGCGGAATGCTTACTAATTTTGATTCTTCTAGTATCGAATTGGAGCCATGTAAAAGCGAA